AATGAGCCAAAAAATAAAGATAGTTTAGAGAAGTGTCAACATGAATGTACGTGTGAATATTTTTCATATGTTTTTTTTTTTATTTCAAAATAGTTCCTATCCCAGCAGATGCAACTATATAACGACAAGGTCAGTGCAAACTCTGATTCTAACATGATCAAAACATTTTGCCTACCTTAACAACAGTTAAAATCCCCTCGTTTGTATTAGGATCTGTTTCAATTTTGAACTGCTCTTTTTTATCTCCATAGATAGTGTATTTGGCTTTCCAGGCTTTTGAACCATATGTGTCTTTGTCTGTTACTTGCAGTCGCAGAACTTCAACTCCAGTTTCTCGCTCCTTGACCTTCCCAGATCCCTGAAACACAAGTCAAATATTTGGTTGGGTTTTATAGAACAATCTGTATTTAAATATTAAAACTTGCAAACTTCCAGTCCAATATGAAACCCACTGTTTTGCCAGAGAAACCTGGAAGATTGTTGTTTTCATCCAAAATATTGATTATCACTGTACTTGTACTCGACAATTGTATCTTTTCCCCTTTGTCCTTTGCTTCAACCAGGATTGTGTATTTCTGAGCTTTCTGGAAAAGATTAATTTAAAATATTTCTTGTGTAGGAATGGAGAAATATTTATAAATCACAAATAGAAATGCATGTTATCTGAATGTAATAACAGGTAAATCATTATTACCAATGAAAGAAATTAGTTTCATACCTCATAGTCCAAACACCCTCTAAAATAAACTGTCCCAGAACTTTGTCCTTTTTGCTGCTGAATATAAAATTCAACATTATCCGTTTTTGGTGTGAAAGACTTGATTGTTAAATCAAATGTTCCATTGTTTGTACTCGAATCATCTTCATCAAATGCTAGTACTGTCAGTACATCTTTACCTAGGGAAAAAATGTGAATGTAAAGTAATTTCTTCACCCTCTAACTTTATTTAATATTGAAGACATATATGATTTTACATTGTATTATATTGTTGCATACAATTGTACAATTACCTGCATGCAATTACATCTGTAATGACATCTAGACGTATTAAACTGGTATCGATCTATCTATCTATCTATATGTAGAGTATATATATTTATATATTTTTGCGAGATTTTTGCAAAATTTTTCAGAAATCCTCAATGACCAAATTCATGACTGGAAAAACAGTATGCAGGTGCATTTTACAATGTTTTAACTAATAATCTTTTTTTTATTATCTGTATATATACAGCCCCGACAAGCCCGCGCTTCACTTCCAGAGCCATTGTCATTTCCAGAGCCATTAGCTGTGTCCACAGGCAGATTTTATTTTTAAAAGCCAGTTATTTCATGGATCCAGGATAATATGCATCCTGATAAAAGTTCCCTTGGCCTTTGGAATTAAAATATCCCACATCATCACACACCTTCCACCACACCTAGAGATTGGCATGGGTACTTTCCATAAGATCATCTTTCAATGCAAATCAAACCAGCTATTAGGCTAACTGAAGTAAAACCATGCCAATCTCTAGGTGTGGTGGAAGGTGTGTGATGATGTGGAGATATTTTAATTCCAAAGGCCAAGGGAACTTTATCAGGATGCATATTATCCTGGATCCATGAAATAACTGGCTTTTAAAAATAAAAATCTGCCTGACTCTATGGGAATCTAACATAGGGGTGCCCAGACTTATGCACCCTGTATTTTAAGTAAAAACATTTATTTATTTATGATACATTATTCATTCACAAAGAAAATTGGTGTCCTTAAAGGTTGGAGTTTTCCTCATTTTTCTAAGTAAGGCATTAAGATCAATATCCAAAAGATGATTTTTTTATTCCTCTTTAGCATGGGTCCCAAAGCTTATTCATACCACTATATACATAGTGAGGAAAATAAGTATTTGAACACCCTACTATTTTGCAAGTTCTCCCACTTAGAAATAATGGAGGGATCTGAAATTGCCTGGAAATCCCTCCTGTGGTGTGTGCAAACCTGGTGAAAAACTACAGGAAACTTTTGACTACTGTAATTGCAAACACAGGCTACTGTATCAAATATAAACATTGTCTTTCTCAGGAGTTCAAATACTTATTTTCCTCACTATATATATATATATATATATATATATATATATATATATATATATATAGCCAGAATTGTATATATACAGGCCTATTCTGGTGGGTGCGGTGAAGCGGTGGCGACTCATAACATGTAAGGGTGGCGTTGCCAATAAAGCACCTAAAAGCTGTCACAAAGAACCGGCAAAAGTAATGATTATGAATATGTATAAATATAGCAGAGATATATTTTAATTGTTTATTAATAAACAAGTGTTTTCTTTGTCAGCTAAGATGAAGATGACTGTTACAGTGGAGGCTCCCGCTCCGCCTCCTCTCCGCCACCAGAGGGAGCCTTCCCCGGAATATTGATCATTGGCTTTAAACTCAAATTCCCATCATGCCTCATACCTGGGACTGATTGCGTCTCACACCTGCACTGCATTTACACACACCCATAAAAGACACCTTCACACACCACACCAGTGCGAAGTCTTGATTTGCCCCGGTGATCATTTCTGAGCGTTTATATTCTGGTTTTCTGGTTTTGGACTTTGGACTGTTTGACTCTTCTTCGATTAATATCTGCCTGGCCTGAACTCGGACTGTTTACGGATTACGATTATTGCTGCCTGCCCTGATCTCTGCTTGTTTCCCGGATTACCCTGTTGTCTTATCTGCATTGCTCTGTCTGCCTCGTCTCGACCCTGCCTGTACGACTCTGTTTAATAAAGCTGCAAATGGATTCCTCTGTTCCCTGTGGTTCATTACAATGACGATGCTGACTCGCTATCTTCAGTAGTGAACGCGCCAGAGAGAAATGCACATTTTATAAGGATTACATAAGCAGAGAGCAGTCTGTAGTCTGTTTTCTTTTGTTTTGAATTGATCTGTTTAAAAGTACACATGTGAGGCAAGTAGGCTACCTTTTACGCTGAGTTTCGTTCATTTATGAGACGAGCTCCAGTTCACATGCCGGCGCCTCCGTTTCTTATCAATTGTCTGCTATATAGAAGTAGGAACTTCTTATTTATTGAAGGTGCCCTAGAATGTGAAATTGAATATATTTTGGCATAGTTAAATAACAAGAGTTCAGTACATGGACATGACATAGCCTACAGTCTCAAACACTACTGTTTTCTCCTTCTTACTTAAACTACACTGTGTAACTTTTTTAGTTTATTCTTAGCTAAAAACACTTAGTTCTTCAAAAATATATGTGCTCATTAATGTATATTTACTTTGTTCAAGTAATAAAGTATTCTCGTGAGTGTATAATATGCCATTGAAAATACATACGGGGAAGGGGTTCTAATGTCGGGTCGCCATGTTGCCCCTCCATCTTGAAAGTAGGGTAGACTGGGTACAGTTGAGACACTTTTTGTGTTTTAATTTTTCACACAAAAATAGATACTGAAAAGATGTAAATTTCCACATGACATTGCCACACGACATTTCATTAGCTTTTAGACTATAGATATTACCTATAGACTTTTAGACTATAAGATATTACCAATCAATATTACTCATAAGTAGTTTATATTTTCCACAATTAGCTCATAAAAGTAAGTTGTTTTTTGTCTCAACTTTGTCTCAACTGTACCCATATGTGGTACAGTTGAGACAGTACCATGGTACAGACACCCATTTTTAATGATGTAAAGGTAACTAATCGTTCATTGAAAATATAATAAATAAAGTCAAATAAAAAAAAATAACAATTGGGCAACATGTTTCTTTATTCATCCATTCAAATTCATGAATTGAAGAGTTCAGATGCAAAAGCCTCTAAATGCCATTTGAAATTTTCTTCTTTAATGATGATTTTTATCAAACTTGTATATTTAAGTTCAGTAATTTTACTTAAATAACAATTAATAGGTAATTATCATTGCCATTTAAGTGAAATTACTGAACTTAAATATACAAGTTTGATAAAAATCATCATTAAAGAAGAAAATTTCAAATGGCATTTAGAGGCTTTTGCATCTAAAATCTTCAATTTTATTTTAATTGGGACTGGTTAAATTTTATAAAACAGAAACAATTTAACATCGGTCTAGTACGAGTTCACGGGTGGGACAGTCAAGGGTTTGACTGCCGTTCCAGTGCACTTTCAAGGGTAGCCAACTGTTGGAAAAACACAGGTTACAGGTTGTCTGGAACGCAGCATTAGTTAATCAAGACTTTCACTTTCACATCTGTCCTGTAATCTTATTCATTTAAGACGTATTATGATCTAAATATTTTTCACACTATGAGAACTTACTATGACTAGCCTACACTTCAGAATGAAAATGTTAAAGCCTACAATGTAAACTTTTCCTTGCGCTAGTGATGTCGTACAACATAAAGAATAATGATAGCACTGATAAAAGTTACTTTACTAAGATTAACTTGCATTCATCTGGGAACCTGATAACTGATGTTTTGCAATGGTAAAAAAAAATAACGAAAACATAAAACTATTATTCATTTTACATAGATGTCATAACCTAAATTAAATTACTGCAAATTATAATAGTTTTCTAAAATAACCTCATCACTTGAAGGAACACTCAGGGACGAGGTCAAACTGGAAGCCATGTTAATTTTGGACTACATTGGCCACTGTAGGATTTAAAACGAAATCGGAATTGAGAGGAACAGAAATTAAGACTGCGTCCCAATTCACTTACTTATACTACGCCCTAAAAGTATGTACTCTTTTTGTGAAGAAAAAGTACATACTTTTGACTGTGTAGCAAAAGAGTAGGCAAGCTTTGGGACATACTATCACGTCATCTTTAACAGACGACTCTGTCGCGTGCTGCGTGCATCCTCACCGTAAACTGCCCTGTCAATCATCTTGTCACAGTTGAAATCCTCCATTCAATCTAATTTGACTTTCTACCGTTTCGGAGCACGTTCATCTGCCAGTCGTGGGTATTTCATGAGGAGACTCTCCTCGTGTTTGCAATTTGAATATAATGATGCATTTAAAAAGTAATGGCTAAACGTATCTTTACAAAAGTTCACAATACTGCTGCATATGCAATATAATGTGGACAACATTGAATAAATTCATTTTCGTCAGGTTAGATACTGATAATTAATCACTCAAAGCTCTTTATCTAAACCTCTCTACACAGCCGCGGGACCAGTGCGGGACTCGCGCGTCCTCAATGTCTGTATTTTTTTAACACTTTTTACTCGTGTTTGTAGTTCTAACCAAATCCTCGTCCACCGTGCAATGGTTTGTGGGCAATATCAGCTGTTAGAGTGTGCATCGATCTACACTTCGGATTCTTACCGGATATAGTAGACCATCCGGGTATCTTTGAAACACTCATTTCAACATACTACGATTTGGGACGTACTAATTCTATTTCGAATACTATTTAGGACGGATAGTATGCGAATTGGGACGCAGCATAATATTCACTGGATGGTCATATACCTTTTCACCGCTAGATGGAGGTAAAAATCACACAGTGTAGCTTTGAATCTCGTTTTTGAAAAACACCCCTGAAAAATAGGCGAATCTCCACATAACACCGACTGTGACGCAACAATCGGGATCATTAATATGTACGACTCCAAAAATTTGCATTTGCCAGTCCACGTTCAATGACAGGTGGAACTGCGGAGCCGAAGCATGGCATTTGCTCAGTGTTTGGATGTACACATGAACACAAAAGCATTTTAGTTCCTTCATCCGTACCTCTGAAACAATGGGTTAATTTTATTTTCTCTGGAAATTTCCAAACATTTCACCGACGACTGTTTCCTCAACTTGGGCCAAGAGCTGACCTCGGATCGAGCTACCAGTACACTTTCTGATGTGTAATTGTTGTTCAAGTTCAGA